TCAGTATGTAAATTGTTTATTTTGAATACGGGTACACCTTGCAATGTAGACCCATATCCATAACATAATTGTTGTTAATATGGGTCCAACGTCCACTTGTCATGCACATAGTTTAGGTTTAGCGAACGTTATGTCCATTAGACCCACTCAATGAATCTTCATTTAGGAGGTGTTTTGTTGGATGGAACATGTTTTTCAATGAAAATATTTTCTTTAAATTTGAAGAAAACTGTATTTTCCTTTGTTTGGATTGTTGGAAAACATTTTCCTTGCCCCCTCCCCCTCCCCCGTGATATTTTATTTTTTATGAAAAATGTTTTGAAACGCTAGTAGCTTAAAATAATAGCTTATTTTGAAACGATATCTTATGTAACGTTCTTTATCCTTATTATTTTTAATCAATGACATCATTTACCCCTCCCAATTAAATCATTTTTGGTATTTTTCTCTTCTCACATATTTCAAGGTAAAATGTGACCATTCTTTTTAACTACTTTTTTTTAAAGGACTGTATTAGATGTATTGTCGTATTGATGGTACTCATATAGTAGCGTGCAGTGCATCCTTGAGGTTGATCAAGTGCGATATATAAGGAGGGAGAAAAGGAATTCCTACTTTCACTGTTATGACAGCGTATGACTTTGAAATGCGTTTTACTTTTATATTTGTTGGATGGGAATGATCAGCACACGATACACGTGTATTTTTTTATTGCAATTAATACCCTATCAATGAACTTTCCCAAACCCCCACAAGGTATCATATTCATATTACTTTAACTCAAATAAAAAGCATATAATTTGATTCCTTATAAAAGTTTAGTAATATGTCAATCAACGAAAATTTAAGTGAGACCTCTATTGAGATGAAGGAGATTCGTAACAATATTGCTACTTCATTATGGGATGCTAGATCATGATTATGCTAATAGTTTCATTTCAAAATGTTAAATTTTAATATGTAAACAAACCTATTTAAAATTACAACTATTTACATTTTATGGAGATGTATTTTTTAATCTTTTTACATTTATCAGTTTATCAAAAAACTAATTTTACGAAACACATTTAAGCATAATAAACTAGTTTAACAACTCTTCCGTTTGTAGCTTATACTTTTTCAGCTTTCAGCTACTTTTTTCAGCTATGTTTGCCAACCATAGCATATGTCTATACTATCCTCAATAAAATGAAATAGATAAATCATATATATGACATGTCTATTTATTAAGTTACTCATTAAAAAATATAAGAAAAAGTGTCAAATTAACCATCTAAGTCAAGTCGATGGTGCAATCGGGTTCCCTAAGTGAAAGAAGCTTAATTTAAGTCCCCTAAACTGATAAAATTGTTCAATTAAGTCCAATTTAACTTGTTTATCACGTTAAATTGATGTGGTGTTGACACGAGTCATTTTTATTTTATTTTTAAAACAATTCTTTTTTATTTATTAAAAATTAAAAATATTATTTATTATAAATAAATTAATTAATTTAAAAATGTTTTAAAAAAAACAGCCACTGGTTGTACGCACCGGACAGCTGGCGGTTGTTCTTTTTTTAATTAATTAATTTATTATAATAAATACTATTTTTAATTTTTAATAAATAACAAATATTTGTTTTAAAAAATAAAAAGGACACATGTCAACACCATATCGATTTAACATGATAAACAAGTTAAATTGAACTTAATTGAACAATTTTACCGATTTAAAGGACTTGAATAAAGTTTTTTTTTTTTTTTTTCACTTTGGATCCAATTACACTATCCATTTAACTTAGGGGGCCAATTTTACACTTTTTTTCAAAAACATATATGAGTCATATTTGTATTCTAATATTTATGTTAAACTTTAGTCATATTTTATTTTATAAAGTTCAACGTCCGTTTGAAACTAGGAAAATGTTTTCTGGAAAATGAGTCATTTTTCATAAAACATTTTCCTTTCCGGTGTTTGGCTGCACAACGGAAAACTGTCTTTGTATATTTGGTTTAGTTTCCAGAAAATAAATAGAAAAATGATCAAAATTGTATACTTCAATTATTTTTATTTCTTCAATTACTTTTTACTTTTTATATTATTTGATAAGTTCATTTTTAAAATTTTATACCATGATGTGTTCTTCTACCACTTTTTCTTCCTAAAATGTTATGCTCTGTAGTTGTTGTTGTTGTTTTTTTTTTTTTTTTTTTTTTGACTTGCAATTCAGAAAAATAGAGTAATTCAATCAAAACAAATAAGCACATGAACCCAAAACAACCACTTCCATTTCTACACAAATCAGAGGAATTTATTTCACAAAAAAAAAAAAAAAAAATCTCAGTTCATCACTGGTTTCTGTCTGCAGTCGGAAACCAGTGAATTTGGTTTCCAGCTGCGAGCCAGAAACCATCACAGGTTTCTGATGCAGAAACCTCTCTGGTTTCCACATCGGAAACCAGTACTGCAGAAACCAGTCATCGGAAACCTCTCTGGGTTTCGCATCGAAAACCAGAGCCTTTGGTTCCGATGCGGGAACCAGTGATGAGGAAGTTTCCGGTGGAGTTTTTCTGGTGATGGATTTGTTGTTGGAGCTTGTTCTTGCGTTGATGGATGCATGGAGATGGCAAGTGCTACATTTGAATGAAGATGGAAAATGACTTCCCCAAAAAAAGGGGAAGTCATTTTCCGGAAAAGTGGGGTGATTTTCCATTAACTTTGAGTTATTTTCCTTTGACTCCTATTTTCCTTGCTTAGCCAAACACCAAAAACCCGGAAAATGATTTCTATAAATCATTTTCCGGATTTCCAAACACACCCAAATGTAAGAGCAAATTTCACTTTTGGGGTGCGTTTGAAAACCCGAAAAAGGAGTTCCGAAAAATGTTTTCAAAGTTTTCAGTGTTTAGCAAGAGGGTGGGAAAAATTTCAAAAAAAAAAAAAAGCAAGAGGGTGGGAAATGTGGTCAATGGAAAATGATGCACTAGTCAAAGGAAAATATGTATATTTTGGGGAAAAATGACTTTTCCTTTTTTTTTTTTTTTTTGGAAGTCATTTTCCAAGGGATGCACATGCAAAATTTTCGGGCCTAATTTTTTGCGAGTTGGCCCACCAAACCTGCAGGCTAGGGTTCATGCCACCAAAGCCATGGGGCGGCGAGCCCCGCGAGCCGATTCGCGATATTTTTTTTAATTCAAAGTTTAAAAAAAAAATATATGAATAATATTAAATTTTTTGTATTTAAAAATTAAAAAGTTACATTTTTAAAATGTTATTATATATATATATATATATATATATATATATATATATATATATATATATATATATATATATATATATATATATTTAATATTTGAAGTGTCCATGTTTGGCAATCAGCAGTTAGCTCTTCAATATTAGTATATATTTAATATTTTATGTCCTAATTTTTATTTGCTCTCCTTTATGTCACGTATTTGATCGACAATTATAATCAATCTTGACTATATTATCTTGCATGTGTAAACTTAGAATTGCCTATTTAAATACACAAATTCAACATTCAATTATCTATGCATGAACAATTCCAATATAATCTTGTCTTGATATACCTTAAAGTATTTATTTTTAAAAAAACATTAGGCATTATCCCAATCGCGCAATGCGCGTAAAAAACTAGTATATATATAAAAAGTGCTATTTAGAAAACAATTTTATCAAAAGTATCAAACAATTAAAATTTTGAAGTATTCAATTCTTTTTATTTTCTTACTCATTTTCTGGAAAATGAACTAAACACATAAAGACAGTTTTCCATTGTGTAGCCAAACACCAGAAAGGAAAATATTTTCTGGAAAATGACTAATTTTTCAGAAAATATTTTCCAGAAGTCATTTTCATGCTTTCCAAACGGAGCTTTAATTATTTACTATTGTGATATTAACACCTTTAGTTATATTATTTTTATTGACTTTTATTTGCTTACTAGCATTTTGTACGCGCGATGCACGAAAACCTATGCCCAATATTAAAATATTGTTAAGTAACTAAATTTAAAAAATTAGTTACTTTAAAATTATATTTCGCCAATTCCTTAAAGTGATGCTACTTTTTGAATTATCATATATTTGAATAATGTAGTGATCAAAACAATATATATATATATATATATATATATATATATATATATATATATATATATATATATATATATAATTTAACATTCATATAAATATTTAATTAAAATATAATTTATAATTAAATTAGTTGTTATATGATAATTTTAATAAAATGATAATTAAAAATAGGAAAAGATATGATAGATGTAGATGTATAGTAAGATTGGTGGATATATTAAATACTAACGGTGTTATAACGGTGTAAGAGTGATTTTGTCCAATACAAATAAAATGTACAACAATTAAAGCAAAATGTATATATTTATTAGTATATAAAAAAGGGACAAAAATCAAGGACATAACTTGTATTGGCACATATTATGTTTTTAGATTAGATTATTAACACAATCAATCATTCATTGTTTTTAGAAAATTTCAAAAATGCAAACAGACCAAAATGTAGATGTGTTTGAAAATCAAGAAAATGATTTTTTAGAAAATAAGTCATTTTCCCTAAAACCTTTTCATTTATAAGTGTGTTTGGAAACCTGGGAAATGACTTCTAAAAAATGACTTATTTTTTTAGAAAATAGCTTCATTTTCAATGTTTGGTTGCATTATGAAAAACTGTCTTGATGTGTTTTGTTCATTTGAAAAATAAGTAAAATAGTATAATTAAACATTTTAATTGTTTTATTTAGAATTTAGAATATAAAAATATTAATAATATTATTAAAAAAATTCAACGAAAAATGAATTCTATTGACTTGATTTTCCAAGCACATCCAAACATTAGAAAGCCGAAAACAATTTTCAGAAATCATTTTTCAGGTTTCTAAACCCATCCGGCAGTGTCTTTGAGGCTGAGGGTATTTTTGACACTGATACATAATAACGGGGTGTCCAAAGTAATTAACAGTGGATTCAGAGGTTTTGGGGGGATCTGATTTTCTTCGCAAACACCCTCTTCCATCTTCATCAATTCGTGTAATACTGCAACACCAATCGGCTTAGACTATAACGAAGAAATTCTGAGAACCAATAGAAGAGAGCAGTGATGAGATCTTTTTACATTCTTTTGATTTCTTCAATTCTTCTCTACAGCTGTATGCATATTACCAAAGCTGAGGTCATTACGCTCACAGCTGAAACCTTCAATGATAAGGTAACAATAAAGAAGCTATGATTTTGATTTTTTGGTTCATACAGTTGCTGATGGTACTGTTATTTGTCAAAGATCGAACGTTTTACTTCAGGAATAGATAGGGTTTATGGTTTAATTCCAGATGCTTTTCATATTTGGCTTTAGCCAGTTTCCTTTGAGAAATTTGATATTTAGTTCTTTTGATTTTAAATTAGAATTTAATCATTAGTGTCACATTCTCCATTATTGATTGTTGAACTGTTAGTTCTTTTTTTGAGTGAGCAAATGGAATGGTTTAATATAGATTTACATCATGCTGAAAAAGGGAAAATACTAGATGGCTAATTCCTCCATCCCAAGCCAGTTCCGGAATCACTATGTAGTAGACTAGTAGGATTTCCCAACTTGGGGAGAAAAAGGAATATGAACTCACCAATTGTGTGCTACACAACATGGTACTAAGAATTGGTTTAGAGTAGATTTAAGGTGTAGAACTGAATGATTAAAATGATGGGGATGCAGTGTTATATAAGTTATTTGCTTTAAACTATTTTTTATGAGTGTTTTTTTTGTTCATTTCTTTAGAATGATGCATGGTACGTGGTGTTAGTATCCTCACTGCCATTATTTAATTGTTTATTAATTCTACTTACGTTGTTCTTGATCCCTAATTGATATGTTTTAAATGGTGTCATCATTTAGATAAATGAGAAGCATACTGCTTGGTTCGTGAAATTTTGTGTTCCTTGGTGCAAGCACTGGTAAGAATTTCAGTCTCCATCTCTTTGTTTCATATCTGTGCTTAAGATTATCCTGATTAGATATGTGACTTCTGTGTTATCATTATTCTCTTGAAATAATTAGCTAGCAGGAATGTAATGTTTAGGACATTATGTGATGGAGTGGATACCTTAGGTTGTCTGATTAAATCTTATTAAAATAGGTTCTTTGGACTATAGAGTTTTTCCCCTTACCTTTTGTGGGGTAGTGCAAATGTGAAGGGAGGATGCAGATTTCTTTTAGGATAAGTAATTTAAGACCTGACCACATGATATTGTAATACTCTTTAGTTTTTTTTCCTAGACATCCTTATATATCTGCATCAAAGAAGGTTTAGTGTAAGCCTTAACCTGATTTTTTTTTTTTTTTTTTTTTTTTTTTTTAACTTTTCCAGTAAAAACTTGGGAACATTATGGGAAGATGTAGGAAAGGCAACAGAAGGAGAGGATGAGATAGAGATTGGAGAGGTTGATTGTGGCACAAATAAACCTGTATGTCAAAAGGTTGATATCCATTCTTATCCAACATTCAAGCTCTTTTACAATGGAGAAGAGGTTGCCAAATATCAAGGTAAGAAATTGCTTTCTTTCATTTAATTGCATCAAGATTTCTATATTGACTATTGAGGGTGCTTGTAAGGCTTTCTTTCATTGTTATAGTTGGTTCTTACTGAGAAATTGACTTATTTATTATTTTCTCAGTTAGTATGGTGCCAATTTGAGTAAGAATGGTTATTTGTTTAAGAGGGGTTATATGAGATGGGACATTAGTCATTTGCATTGACCACATATTTACTGCCGTAGTGTTATAGAGTAAGGGGACAGGTTCTTTGCAAATTATTGTAGAGAAATGTCATTCTAGTTCTTATAGCCTTTTCCCTCCTGCTTAAATCCATGTAATCAGCAAGAGGTTGAGAACCTTTTACTTTTGTTTCTGTCATTTATGGTGTGCATTATTTGGGTAGAGCCTGAAAACCCTGAATTCCAAGCCCAAACTCATGGCACCCTATTTGGGTTGGGGCGGGGCGGGGGCGGGGGCGGGGGTTGATACCACCACCCCAGCCCAACAGAGATTGTGGATTTAACAGAGATAGTTAATTATGTTTTGCTAGAGTTCTGCATCCATTATAACCATTAAGAACTGCAAATTGTATGCATTGCCATGTTGCTAAAACTGGTAATTTTCATGCTTTCTCTGTGGGAGTATTTTCACTGTGGTCCCTATTCTTTACCCGTCATGACAGCCTAAACCCTAGTTTTAGAAATTACCCACTTGTCATTCCTCTTCCATTCAACATTACCTTCCTTCATCCATCTGTACCCTTTGACCATCTGTTAGTTACTGCTTCAGAATCTAATGAAAACATATATGTAAGAATTAAGATGCATGTGATTTCTAACTTTCCTCCCCCTCCCTTGTCTCCTGGAAAATTTTGGCCAGATAACGTTTAAATTAAAAAACAATGGAAATGTACCTGTGCTTCATCCTTTAAAAAAGTGGAGACATTTGCCCCCTAAAAGTTGCATATACAATGTCGAATGTTATGAAAAAAAAAAGCCTTCTACACTGGTATGGATTTGGAAATTGGAATGTTATGCTCTGAGCTGTGTCAAAAATATGCAAGTCTTAAAACCTCAAGTAAATTCATGGTTAGCTAATACCGGAGTCCAAATACTAAAGATAAGTCATTATGTAACTAATTAATTACTGATCATGTAGGGGTTGGTAGACCAAAAATTGTAGGGTAGGGAATAATTGTCAAGGCTTAAGATAAATGAAAACTTATTGTGGTAATTGTAGAAGTGTGTTGTTCAGATCAAACCAATGATTGAGAATTGTTGTATTTGTGGAATTTGATGATATTTTGGACATTATCTGCTATGTTTGCTTGTGCTGATGGATTTATGAGTAGAAGAAAATCTGACATTACATATATGCCCTACTTCTTCACGTTGTGTTGTAATAGGTCAAAGGGATGTGGAGTCACTCAAACTGTTTGCATTAGAAGAAGCAGAAAAGGCAGAAAGGAAAGCAGAAAGCGGCGAGGATAAAGAAGAATTATAATTGATGGATACGAGAACAGGGGATGAGAATTTTCTAGGCCAAGCATGGCACTTTAGATTGATTGGATAATGCCTTTAGTTTTGTTTTGCTTCTTTTTCTGGTTACAGATTTTCTTGTTAAAATAGATTAGATATCACGTTTTATTAAATCAAATTCAGTTAGTTCTCTGCGGTATTTTTTGCATTCTAATTCCATATTCCCATCTATACCAATGTGAACCGTGAGATCTGACATGAATACTTTTGGACCTTGTAATTTACTCTGATGTTGCAGTCACAATTAGTTGTGGTTAATTTTTATAATGTATTATTCAGCGAATCAGTGAAGATCACAGAAAAACACGAGGCTAAGATTTGACTGTGAGGCACAACCATAGGAAGAGTTACAAATTAAAGCTAGAAATTTTTAAAGATGTGAAAAGCAAGCACAATCAGTTAGCAGTTCAAACTTTAAACTCATACAAAATTGAAAAACTATTGCACGCCTAAAAATAAACTACAAATGGACAGCCCATTGTAGGGAGAGATTCACACCAACTCACTAAAATCCATCACTAACCCACAAAATGGGCAAGAAAGGCACAATGGGAGGAACATCTGGAGCCTAATACAAAACTAACATAAAAGTCTGACAAAATTTTAAATAACAAAAGCAAATAAATCCCTTCAAGCAAACAATCCTCATTTCTTCTTCTGGGCAGCCTTGGTGACCTTGGCACCAGTTGGATCCTTCTTGTCAACATTCTTGATAACACCAACTGCAACTGTTTGTCTCATGTCCCTCACAGCAAAACGACCAAGTGGTGGGTACTCAGAGAAGGTTTCAACAACCATGGGCTTGGTGGGAAGCATCTTCACCATACCGGCATCACCATTCTTCAGGAACTTGGGCTCCTTCTCCAGCTCCTTACCAGACCGTCTATCAATCTTGGTCAAAAGTTCAGCAAACTTGACTGCAATGTGGGAGGTGTGGCAGTCCAGCACAGGAGCATATCCATTACCGATCTGCCCGGGGTGGTTCATGATGATGACCTGAGAGGTGAAGCTCGCAGCTCCTTTGGCTGGGTCATCCTTAGAGTTTGAGGCAACATAACCACGCTTAAGATCCTTCACAGCAACGTTCTTCACATTGAACCCAACATTGTCACCGGGAAGTGCCTCCTGAAGGGCTTCGTGGTGCATTTCAACAGACTTAACTTCAGTGGTAAGACCAGAAGGTCCAAATGTAACAACCATACCCGGCTTCAGGACACCAGTCTCCACACGACCCACAGGGACAGTACCAATACCACCGATCTTGTACACATCCTGAAGTGGAAGTCGGAGGGGCTTGTCAGATGGCCTCTTGGGCTCATGGATCAGATCAAGAGCCTCAAGGAGGGTTGGACCCTTGTACCAGTCAAGGTTGGTTGACCTCTCAATCATGTTGTCTCCCTCAAAACCAGAGATGGGAACAAATGGAATCTTATCAGGGTTGTATCCCACCTTCTTCATGTAGGATGAGACTTCCTTCACAATTTCATCGTACCTGGCCTTTGAGTATTTGGGGGTAGTGGCATCCATCTGCAGAAACCAAAGTAAACAAGGTTAGATATCATCATTTAATAAAATGGATAGTAGATACATTTCATATGTTACCAACTCATAGATAAACTAAAGCTAACCTTGTTACAGCAGCAAATCATTTGCCTCACACCAAGGGTGAAAGCAAGCAAAGCATGCTCACGGGTCTGTCCATCCTTGGAAATACCAGCCTCAAAACCACCAGTGGTGGAGTCAATGATGAGGACAGCACAGTCTGCCTGTGAGGTACCAGTAATCATGTTTTTGATAAAGTCACGATGTCCAGGGGCATCAATGACAGTGCAGTAGTACTTGGTGGTCTCAAATTTCCACAAGGCAATATCGATGGTGATACCACGTTCCCTCTCAGCTTTGAGCTTGTCAAGCACCCAAGCATACTTGAATGACCTCTTGTTCATCTCAGCAGCTTCTTTCTCAAACCTCTCAATAACACGCTTGTCAATTCCTCCAAGCTTGTAGATCAAGTGACCAGTAGTGGTCGACTTACCAGAGTCAACGTGGCCAATGACCACAATGTTAATGTGAACCTTCTCCTTACCCATTCTGTTCTATTTAGCAAAACCTACCATGGTTAAAAAAAACATTTTTAAAAAACATGTTAATGGGTGATGCACATGAAATACAACATTATAAGTAAAACAAAAACTTAAGTGACTGTTATAAAAAAATTCAAAGGTCAAATACACATAAAATCAACACTTTTAGTAATAATGCATCTAGAATAGGTTGCAGCAGTTAATAATTTATGAAGAAAAGTTAATTGATAACTGAACAAGGCTCAACTAAACAGATTTGGCTACACACAAAGAAAGGTTATACGCAGTGAACAAATTCAATTAATGAATATTCAAAAATCTCTAAGGAATCAAACAATAAAAGCTTCAAATTTAATGATGAAATTAGATTCAGTAATCAATATCTATAACAAACAATTTAAACACGATTAAAAGCTGGCCACAAATCCATTAACACCATTATACATAGATTTCAAATGGTAACCACATGATTCCATACAATCTTTTACACTTATCACCTCAAAGAGAAGATATCAATAGAGCTAATTAAATGAACCTCAAAGAGAAGATATCAATAGAGCTAATTAAATGAACCTCAAAGAGAAGATATCAATAGAGCAAATTCATCAAATAACCCAAATCTAAGCAGATCTATCGATAAGTAACAAAAGTAACATGCAAATCAGCTAAAGTATAATCTAGTCCAGTAACTACGAATTTCACCTAAAAAAACAGCGAGAAAAGCAACGTCATTAACATTAATTTAAATAACTAATCACAAATCTAGTTAACAAAACATATCGATATGCAATTACACGAATTTCACCTCAAACAAACAGCGAGAAAAGCAACATCATTAACATTAATTCAAGTAATTAAGCATAAATCTAGTTATAAAAACATATCGATATGCAATTACACGAATTTCACCTAAAAAACAGCGAGAAAATCAACATCATTAACATTAATTCAAGTAATTAAGCATAAATCTAGTTATCAAAACATATCGATATGGAATTAAAACCTATAAACAGCACGGCTAAGTGTGAAAATCAAATAACAGAAACACATACCGATATCAAGATGCAAAGAGAGAGTGAGAGGACTCTAGACTGGAGAGCACAAGAAAAGATATAGAGTCCGTAAGAGGGAGAGAATGAAGAGAGGCAATGCGGGGCTTATAAATCAAGTTCAGGGGGTGAGATGAGATTAGGGTTTTTCATGGACCGTTGGATTGAATGATCGACGATCCACAGGTGCGATGCCTTTTTGGTCAGCCGCTTGGACAGTATCCCGCTTTCCCAGTTCGTTTGTATTAATTCCTCTAAAATTGCTATCACATCCTTATAATTATCACTAATTATCATGCGGGTCTCCTCTTTCATGTTTTCTTTTCCTTTTAATCCTTTCCTTTTGGGTATAATTTCAATTTAACCCTTATAATTTCACTAATTGATCAATTTAAACTCTTTGGCCTATAGTAATTTTCTCTTTTTCCCACGTTTTCAACATGAACGGTGAACCCATTTTTCCTTTATCTTATACAATTATTTTAAAAAGAGAAAATTGTAAAAAACGCCCCTCTATAATATGCCAATTATCAATGTCACCCCTGAATTATGAGTGGTGTAAATGTTGCTCCTCAATTATCAAAACGGTGCACATATAGCCCCTCCCGTAACAGACATGTGGTTCCCCGTTAGTGTATGACACCGTTAAGTCGGAGTAAATATGTAATTTAGTTGTTTTTTCCCTCTCTTGATTCGAAGTACCAGCGATGGACAGCGGTGGGGAACCACAGGTCCGTTACGGGAGGGGCTATATGTGCACCATTTTGATAATTGAGGGGCAATATTTACACTACTCATAATTCAGGGGTGACATTGATAAATGGCATATTATATAGGGGCATTTTTTACAATTTTCCCTTTTAAAAATTGAAAAGAAAAAATAGTTTTGGTTATTGAATTATTGGAGTTATTTTTTTTTTTTTTGTCCTAGATTTATTAGGCGTTGAACACTTTTAGTTCTCCATAAAAAAAATTATCAATTTGTAGCCACGCTTATTGGTTGTTGGACACTTTTAGTCCTCTGTCAACTTTCTCGTTTGTTCACCGTTAAAATGAATGATGTTTTTGTCATTTCACGTGTTCTTTTTCTCAAACCTTATTTTTTTCTTCAAGCCCCCTCCTAGCCTCCCCTGCTCCACTGATTACATCTATCGTCTACACCACCGTCGCCCCATCCCTTACATTTTCTCGCATTCATCTGCCTTCGACAAGCCTCCAAATTTGCAGCTCTTCGAACATAAGGCTTCAACAATTTGCAGCACCTAGAATAGAAGCCCAAATCTCGCATGTTCGTATTCAATCCCCTGCTAAATACCCCTCGTCCCTCCTTCTCCATTCGCAATTTCAATCTAAACCTTAATCAGATATAGGCTTCAACAGGTGATTTCTTTTACCAAGACCTGCTCGCAATCATTCTCCGATGTGAATCTAAGCAGTATATGCCCCACATCTAGTGCTCTGATGTACGCCGAACCAGAGAGATGGAAGAACGCTTGGAATGTTCAGGTGGAGAGAGAGTATGTTGCTAGACCACTTTTCCAAAATGCGGCATTCTCATATTCTGGATGAAGAAGAGGAATGTTTTTGTCTCGGAAACCTCTGTTTTCAAGGAACTCAACATTCACCTTTTCGGTCTGGTTTCACATCTAGAGTTCCAAGGCGTTCAAAGATGGCAGCTATGGCGGTTGTGGCTATGGAGGCGGTGGTAGTAGCAGAAGTGGAGGTCTTCTCCGGCGGTGGCAGCTATGGCGGTTGCGGCAAGGATGCCTAGTGGCAAATCTTTGTGAAAAATAAGGTTTGCTTCAATGCATAACTTTGTGCAAAATAGGCAAATCTCACGAAGAAATTGGAGTATGTAGATGATGGTGGCAATGGTGGTTTCAGCTGTCGATGGCTAATTGATGTAGTCTGGATATTTGAGCTCTTCATTTTGCTTCTGTTTCGCAATTTTACCCCCAAAACTCAATAGTAAAGAAATATCTTTTCTGGCGGCAGCTTCCAATAAGATGTCTTCATCTTCTGGCGCATCCCCTTACCTGGTAACTTCAACGCGTCCCCTTACCCCTGCTCCTTTACGTTCAAGGCCTGCGCCTGTGTCCTTGCACGATTACAGACGACCCAAATCCATGTCGGCGTTGTCTGGTTGGGGTTCAGCTCTAATATCATGCTGAACTTTGCTCGATGCATATGCGAAATGCGGGGACCTGGATCACGCTCGCAAGGTGTTTGAAGAAATAGAGACGATAGATGTAGCTAGCTGACTATCCTCGGTCAACAAAAGAAGATAACTGACTATTTTTTTTTTTTAGGGAGAGGGGGAGGGGGTATACCCCGCTAGCTAGCTGCTTCTCTCAGTAAACAGCAAGACACGATCATTGCTCAAAAGAGCATCAATGCTACTGGGAGGGGAATTAAATTCAATCCAGTCGCAGGATCTTTGAGGAGCAATCTTGGCCAGCTGATCCGCCACACTATTAAGCTCTCGTGGGGAATAATTTATCTCAATTCTCCACTCTCTCGCCAACCATTGCTTGCACAGCTCTACAATGATACCACATTCGCCCTTGGGTTTGTTTCCTCCTTGTAGCCACTCAACAACATTCTTCGAGTCGCAAAGCACTTGAATTTTCTTGTTCCCTGAATTCCAGGCCCACTTGAGCCCTATGTAAACAGCCCAGAGCTCACCCTCTGTCGAGTTTGTCGTTCTGGTGGTGCAGCTGAAACCACCTAGCCAGTCTCCAGTATGCGTACGTAGAGCTCCTCCACATCCTGTCAGCAGGTCTCCTGAGATAAAGGATGCATCAGTTTGGAAAAGAGTCCATCCTTCCAGACGTCTGCACCACTCACGTTCCTCGTTATCCACAAGTCCAGGGAGTAGTTGTCTCTCAAACGCATTCTGAACGTCTTTGATTTGTTGTCTGATCCACATAACTTTCGCACCTCTCTCCCAGTTTTCATCTTTAAACACTGCGTTGCATCTCCATCGCCATAGCCACCAAGTTATAACAGCGAAATGTTCGTTCCACTTGCCAACCTTGTACTTATTCGTCTTTCCTGTCATATTAAGGTTGATCCAAGAATCAAAGTCCAAATTAAAGAATTTATTGCTAAACTCATTAGGTAAGAAAACTTCCCATAATTCCTTGGCTTTAATGCAGTCACGCAGGCAGTGAATCATATTCTCCTCCGCAGCATTGCAGCAAGGGCAACTTGCATCGTAGGTGAAACCTCTACGCTTCCTCTCCGAGTTTGTCATCAACCTTCCATGTTTGGTTGTCCAGATGAAAGCACTTATCTTTTTTGGAATTTTTAATTTCCAGATCATGTTCCACACCTTGTTAGTTTCCAGATGTGGGTTATTGGTTGCCAGGTCATATGCTGATGCCACCGAACATCTCCCGCTGCTCTCCTCCTTCCAGTATAATCTGTCTTCTAGTGGAATGGTGTCCACTAGAAGGTTTGCTGTGAAATCTTGAGTGAAGTCAATAATTCTAATGCCTTCATGAAGGATGTTGTTCGCAGTGCAAATCCCCTTCCACAGGTTTGAGCCTCCTTGTTTCCACGTAAATCCCTGGGTGGCGTCCTTACCATGCATGTACTTTTCCATGATGACTTTCACCCAAAGCTGTCTGCTCTCCGTAACTAGTCTCCAACCCATCTTCGTTAAAAACGCAAGGTTCATTTCATGAAGTCTTCGAAGCCCTAGACCCCCTTGACTTTTTGGTCGTGTAACCTTCTCCCAGCTTACTAGGTGCATCCCATTACCCCAAACGAACTTCCTGATCTTTTGTTCAATATTGTCACAAATTCCTTTCGGTAGAATGATTGACTGCATCATGTAATAAGGCATAGCAGAAAGAATGCTTTGAGCCAGAACCACACGCCCTGCTAATGTCAAGTGGCGTCCCTTCCATCCCTCTATTCTTTCATCCACTTTTTCAATGAGAGAAGTAAAAAGATTAAGGGTAACCCTTCCATGAATCGACGGCACACCTAAGTACCGCCCAAGGTTCTCCGTGTTAGCAAAGCCAGCTTCTTCTGTTATTTTTTGGGCAAGCCAAGTCTCAACATTCTTGGAAAAATGGATTTGGGATTTTTTGGGGCTCACCTTTTGTCCGGACATAATTTCAAAATTATGTAGACAATTTTTTAGAACCTTCATTTGCTCGACAGAGGCTTCTGCAATAAGAACCATGTCATCAGCAAAAAGTAAATGGGACAGTTCAGGGCCATACCTGGATAACTTCACTCCCTTCCACCTCTTGTTGATCACTTCATTTTTTATCATTCGACTCAGTCTTTCAATGCACAAGACAAACAAATATGGGGATATTGGATCCCCCTGCCGAAGTCCTCTCTTAGGTATAATCCAGTTAAGTTGGTCACCTTTCCAAAGAACTCCAAGACGCGGCGTACACACACATTCCATGATGATATTCAACCAGTGGTCGTTCAAACCCAATTCCTTAAGCGTTTCACGAAGGAATTTCCAGGAAATTCTATCGTATGCTTTCTCCAAATCGATTTTCATAACCATCGTTTTGACTCCCCCTCTTTTGGTTCGCATCGTGTGAAGGAGCTCCTGGTACACCGCTATATTATCAATAATTTGTCGATTTGGTACGAAGCTACTCTGCTCTTCACCAACAATGTTATTCATGAAAACCTTAAGCCTGTTAGTGATGACCTTAGTCATAACTTTATACTTGACGTTACACAGGCTTATTGGCCTAAATTGAGTAACGACCTCCGGATGCTTCACCTTAGGGATCAAGGCAATTAGGGTATCATTCCAATTCTCTGGCATTTTTGCCGTTGAAAAGAATTCCACCACCTTATCTGTGAGATCTTGACCAACAACATTCCATGCCTTCTGGTAGAAGCCGGCTTGAAACCCGTCCGGGCCGGGGGCTTTGTACGGAGCCATTTCAAAGAGAGCTTTCCTAACCTCATCTTTTGTGACCTCCCTGCAAAAATATTTTAGGTCTTCATCAGAAAGTTTAACATGATTATAATTCACATACCTTAGGTCAGCTGAGATTGGTTCGTCCGTAAAAAATTTTTGGAAATGATCTTGCACCATCTCCACCATCTTTCGATCGTCCTCAATCCAGTTCCCCTCCATAGTTTTAAGCCCTGCAACAAAAGTATTTGCCTTTCTAACTTTTGTTATGGCGTGGTAATATTTGGTGTTACGGTCTCCAGAAGCAA